TGCAAAAGCAATATCGAAAACTTGACAAGTTCCATATGTCTTTCTAAATGAGTCTACTTTTGGGAGGGGGTCTGCTTCCTTACTACCAGGGAAGTAGACAGCTTTAATTTTCTTAGTCTCTTGCATGAATTCCTAACCAAGCATTAAAAGCTACAATTGCAAAGTCTGAATGGCCCAGGGGGGTGGCAATATGATATGGAGTCTTTCAGCCCTAGGTCACTGGTTTGAATTTGGTCTAGGTTGGTATGGTAACCAAAATTCTTACCATATGACTGTTGAATATAGCCTTAAGTCTATTAATGAGTTGATGTTGTCTACATCCAAGCTTTCCAGCTGGCCTTGTTGACATTTTGAATGACCTTCTCACCTTTGGATATAGCCCATCCAGGTCATTGCTAAGGCACATTGATTGGGCAGTGATGGTAGCTCACATTACCTGTTTATAGGCTGCGTCAATAAACTGCCATTCAACACCCACAGCTATCTAGTTCCTTAAAATTCAAAGTACTAAGTTAGAACTGTATAGTTTACGGAATATATGAGGAACTGCAAGTTCCTCCCCTCCCCCCCAAAAAACCCCCCATAATTTTCAAAATAGGCTTTGGAAAACATGTTTCTTGTGGATTAAAGACTTAGATTTTATATATTGCCAAAACAAGCTATCCAGCAGAATTATAAATAACACACAAATAGCTTTCTCTATAATTACTGTGGTCAATTATGCGAACGCCAGCAAATAGCTTTTTTCTGCAAACAAATATTTGGTTAGTGAAACTCTTCACTGGTGATTTTTAGGAGCAGACAAACTAGAACGGTAAAAGAACTAGCCCCGCTCTGAACTGAAAACACAATGCATTAAATCCCACCTCAGTTAGAGCTGCGCAGCTCTGAACTACTCTCAAAGGTATATCTCGGACTTTTATGTAATATGCAGTTTTGGAAAATATAATGTTAAATTATGTCATTTGAGCAAAAACAATTTGGTGGAAATTTAAGACATCAGTCCTATTAATCTCTAATATTTTTGCACAGTAATTTGGTGAAGTTGGCTTTGGTGTTTAGAGGCTTCGGTAACATACAATATGTTCTTAAAGGAAAAAATAAAGTAGCAAAATCCATGCATATATAATATTACGAAGAACACAGGGTTGCCACAAAAAATGGGACTAAGTTTCATCAGCAGACCTGTATTTTGTTTTTTGAAATACATAATTTTCCCTTTCATCTTTTATATGAGCTAAGCCTTCCTGGATGTGGTCATTAATTTCCTTAATATATATTTGAGCCCACTTTTCAGTTTGGAAATTAATTCTTGAAGTGGATAACAGCATAGGTTCTTGCTTTAATTTACCAAGACCCATAACGACTTGGGTCCAGAATACCATCCATCCCCTGCTTGATCACGGAGGTATCTGGGGGCAGTGTGACTGTCAGTGGTCCCCCATAGCTGAGATGTATGGTTTGTATCCACCAGGAGCCATGCGGCCCAGTTTTATGGAACTCTCTTTCAGCTGAGGTCAAAAAGACCCCCTTTCAGTTAAACAACAGGCACCTACTGAAGGCTTTATTATTATTATTATTCTAGCAGGCACTTTAACTGAATTCTACTTTTATAATTTCAGCTGGTTTTTCTTTTCATTGTGTTAAGTTTTTTGTACAAGGCTTAGATATAGCTAAGTAAGTGTATAAATTGTATAAATAAAAATAAATAAATAAGAACAAAAGTTTAACAGAGAATTACAGACTAAAACACATTTGTAGACATCATGTTGGGGCAGAGGTGTTTACCTGACCGCCTGGCAGGTGAATCACTGCTGCTTGCTGAATGGGGATATTTTCAGACAACCACCTTTCAGGGATTTTTCAGAGACTACAGTGAAAGAAAACAAATGTGTTCATTTATTCAAAATGAAGAAAATCGGCAGTCCAGTTGTCTGGGACCATCTTTGTGACCAGTTCTGGAAACATTGCTTTCCATTTAAATTTGCATCAGTCCCCCTTAGTGACATCATCATATGGCCAAACCTGATGTCGCCACTTCACTGTGTGGACTCAGAATGGCCAGGATTACTCTAGGGAAGGAGAAAGAAACCCTAACCAGAAAAAAGGAGGAGGAGGCACTGGAAACACACAGTAGTGGAGAGAGTGGGGAAAGATGACCCACTGAGAAATTCCACAAATACTGCAGGCAATATTTTGCCCCCAGTTTGTTTTTTAATTGAAAATAGAAATAGGTGAAGATTCACCATAAAGACTAGTGTGAAGAACCAGTGGTGGTCTCCACATGAACAAAGATCTTGAAAAAACTGTCTTGGTGAAAGCTAATGGTCAATGCCAAAGTTCTGCTTTTCATTTTAACTTTACAGATATGACCATGCTGACAGTTTGTTTTGTGTTTATTGAAACTTGTGTCTGTGTGTGTGTGTGTGTGTGTGTGTGTGTGTGGCAGCATGCCATTGCAAAACCAAGCAGTGCAGCAATAAAACATTTTTCCCTTGCTAGAAGAGGAAGTAAGGGATTTGTTTTCAAGAAGTAAATTGCTTCAAAACACAAGGGAAATCCTGAAGGTTTTAGCTGTTTTAACCCAGTGGGGGAAACTGCTGTATCTTCTTATTAGGAACAGGGGGGGGGGTTAGCTCAGACTAACTGGCATGCCCGTCAATAAAGTATTAGCATACCAATCTCTTGTAACGTATTTTATTTACTTTTGTTATAGATTGAAGCAAGCCAGGTCCTCTCTACTATGGAAGGAAGTTTCACTTTTTATTTTATTCAGTTATAAAATGAAACAATCAGTGACCAAAAGCCCCTGGGGTCAGAAACAGGATTCAAGAGGACCTATCCTTCTTCCACTCCTCCTTTCTCAAACTAGATGTTGTTAATGCTACAATATCAATGTGCTCAGGGGACTGGCTAATCCGCTCCTCCCTTGGCCAGCTCCCTTAGCAAATTGAAAGTGTGTGCCAGAGAACATATCCCAGTATCCTTTAACAATACACTTGAGTAGCCAGCCAAGATGGAACAGCTTGGCCAGTTCTTCAGAGCGTTCAGAGCATCACTCGGCAAATGGTGGCCGCCTTCTTTCTCCAGCATCCAACCCCTGAGGGGATAGTGGAGGCTGGTCCAGTACGGCAAATGGGGCACTGTTCCACCAACCTCGGGTATGTCTTCAGAGTCCCCACCCACCTGTTTTCTGACTTATGTCCACTCCAGGCACTGGGACTGGTTGTCAGCTTATTCCTCCTCCATCTCAGCATTGCCTTGGTAGGACTCAACAAGGAGGACGATGGGAGCAAAACTAAAATAAATTGGCTCCACCTGGCATTGACTCTGTCTCCACCTATTGTTGGCCCCTCTCACTTCTATTCTACCACTCCCAATGAGCATTAGCCACCAAAGTGAGGGGAGAATTACAGAAAAATGTGCAAGTGAGGATCATGGTCTAGTCTTAACCTGCCATCATCATTCTTCTGTAGCTTGCCACGAAGCTGAAAAGAGAAATAGTCAGGTCAGGTAAGCGAAGACAGAATTTATTTCCTTGTTTGAAAACGTCAGCAGTGGTAGAAGCACTTTACAGTGGTACCTCGCAAGACGAATGCCTCGCAAGACGAAAAACTTGCTTGACGAAAGGGTTTTTGGTTTTTTGAGTTGCTTCGCAAGACGAATTTCCCTTTGGGCTTGCTTCGCAAGACGAAAACGTCTTGCAAGTTTGCAGTGTTAACTCATAGCAACTCATGTTGCTGTACAGTGGTGCTTCGCAAGATGAAAAATTCGCAAGGCAAAAAACTCGCAGAACGAATTAATTTCGTCTTGCGAGGCACCACTGTATAGAGAGAGCTCTTCTTCCTCTCCCATCCAGGACACAGCAGCACGAACATGGCATGAGCCAATGTACCTGGAGGTCCTGATAGCGAAATAAAGTTAAGATAAAAGTAGAAGAAGCCACACATGCCATCATTGCTAAAGGCAAGGGGCACATTCCACCCTCCTGCAAGTCAGAGAAATGGGCGCCCAAATTTGCAGCCAGTGAACAGGACCATAATATTCAGGGGATCTTTGAGTGTACCCATAGTAAATGGGAAATCATATCCAGTTCTTGAATAGTATGTTGTGAATACTTACTATTGTGCACCATATGCACTGATGCCTTGCCTCCAGGAGCAGAATGAGAGTAAATCAGACCAAATATAGACAAAAATAGGCCACGGTTCCATTGATTTCAGAAGTACATGAGGTTAGCTCAGTATGGGGCAAGGTTCAATGGTTGTGCAGCCTGCCTACTGTCTAATCCTACGCTCAACCTGTTTGCTGGGGCACCTTTCTGGGTGTTGCCAGCCTAACCCTACTGTGGTGCGGGCCATGCATCATGGTTTCAGCTGGAAATGTGGGCTGTGCAGCAAAAGCTCTCCCACCCAAACCAGGGCAAAGACCAAGGGCTAACACATTGTCCCCAAGACCCCATGTGAGGCTCTCACTTAAGGTCCAGATCTTGCCTAGTGCCTTTTCCCACTGGAGCTGTGACAGAAATATGTATTAAATATGCCTAACAATGCAAACAGCTTTTATTGGGACAGCTTTTATTGGGTGGAAGGCAAAATCCTCACCACCAAGGGCCAATTAGGCGTGAGCTAAAATTGTTTCTGGCTCTGTCAGGAAGCAGCAACCCATGTTCTCAGCAGAAGACCTCATCTTGAGAGAGGGTGGGTGGTGAAGCCATGTTCTAAGCAAGCCTGGCCTTGCTGCCAGGACCACCTTTTATAGTTGGGGAATGCCCAGGGAATCTTCTGAGGCCAGGCCAGCAAGGCAGATGGCCACTGCCTCCTGGGTGCTTGCCATGCAGGACACCTAAAGCAGGCCAACCACAGGAGGGAGCTGCAGCAAACTGGGAGTTAAAGTGATTGTATGCAAGTACTCTTCTTTCCTCATTTACCTAACATATCTCACTCTGTTATCCATTCTCTCTCTCTCTCTCTCTCTCTCTCTCTCTCTGTCTCCTACAGATGTAGATACAGTTTGAATGAAGCAAATCCAGCTGTGGCAGGTGCAGACTGGCTAGTGTCTGTGTCATTACCAACTCCTCTTCTACAATGCCTGGAACAGCTATATATGTGTGTGTGCACGAGACACACACACACACACACATATTGTTAAGGTGATCAACAAACATTTACATAAATGAACATATGTGTACCATGAAATAGCCTTCCTAACTCATGAATGCAGAAGAGGCTGAATAAATCTACTGTGACTGTTCTAAATGCTGTTATCTGTCTTCATTGTTCATTCATAATAGAAATCTCGGGCTATGTATATGGAAAGGCACAGCCTTTGACTAAGACTGACATCCTATATGCACATCCCAGAAACACACTTACCCGGAAGCATGCACCATTGAACTCAGTGGGACGTCCCTCTGAGTAGTCATGTATAGAGTTGCACTGCTATTTAGTCTGTGGGAATGTTTTCATGCTCCTTTGTGAAGAGTTTGCTGGGGGTCTCTCTGTACAAGTTAGGATGAACTTCCTGTGCAAGCAGTTGTGAAGGTTTTTGCTTCTCTTGGGTCCTAGCAGACTTTTCTTTAGATTCAAGGAAAAGCAGCTTGCCTGAAGCCCTTTGGGCACTGTTGTATTTGCTATGTGACTCTGAGATATATAGTTCTTTCACAATCTCTTATGTAAACATCAAAAGGAGTTTATGGCTACACAGCACCTCCTCATGCTCTATGAATATTTAAGACATTGCGGGAAAGTTCTGATGACCACTCAATTTGCTGTCAAACTGTGCATTCGCATTCACACTGAGTTTTTATAGGACTTGAAATGGCCATACTTTGAAATGATCTATATGGATATGAATGGTGTTTGGGCAAGAGGAAAGGTGGGGGGGTGGGGGTTGCAATCAGCTGCAGAGCCCACCCTATGGGGAACATAACACTCAGAGTTGATCTATATTTTATACAAAATAGGTTGGACTGAAGCAATTGAATTCTTGACTGTGCCACATCAGACTATGAGGCAAAGGGCCTCATATTTTGTAAGATTTATCTACCTAAAATGCACATTTCATGCAGTTACACAAACATATTATGGAGAAGGCTAAGCCTTTTTCTATGATGTGATAGTTAACCATATAGCTAACCACCCACCCCCACCCCCACACCCCACACCCCACATATATAGCTAGCTCACCATATGCAAGGAGCTTTTTTGCATGGAAAGAATTCACCTGCTATCTGAATGGTACAGTCCAGAATTTTACTGCTCCGCCCCTTACCGTGAAGACCTGGGAAAATCTCCTGTTTGAAGAACTGCTGCCTGTCAGTGTAGCCAATACTGAGCTAGATGGATTAACTCTCTGACTTTGTATAAAACACTTTATGGCTACGGCCTAACTTGATACTCAGGCAGTTCCCTTTGGCCATGCTTATGTCTCTCCAGCGCACATTGCTCTGGATGGTTTCCCCTTGGGCTTGGGTCCTGCTTGCAGGTATCACATAGGCACCTGGTTGGCCACTGTGAGAACAGGATGCTGCAGTAGATGAGCCATGGGCCTGATCCAGCAGGGCTTTTCACTGCCACCTTTCAATCAGCCACCCTTAAGCATTGAAGGCTGCTTATCACAAGCGAGATGCTAACACCAATGACACGAGTGATGTTGGGTTCAAATGCAAAAGCCACATTTATAAAAATGTACATTTGATTTCAAAATGGATGCCCCACCTCTCCATTCGGACGTTTCATTCACAATATTCAACTGTGACACTTTTAGAATAAAATAGATCCTTAGTAACCATTTGTGACAATCTCTGAAATGTCACGACCAACAACCTTAAGCTTTTAAAGTGTCACAGTGTTGTGGTTGCTCTTCCTTCTTGTAGGGTTGGCTCTGGGACTGAGTCTTGATGATGGGCCTCAGTATTAGGAAATTTTGCATTTCAAGGAAATTTCTGTGAGAAACTATGTCCAAGCAAGTCTGGAATTTCCTCCACTCAGACACACACACACACACACACACACACACCAGACATTTACAGGCAACTAGTTGTTTTGTTTTTAAAACCTTTTATTTGTAGCTCACATAAGCAAAATGAGCAAAAGGAAAAGTGGAAGTGAAACGGAATGACAGCTGTCATGAATTGCACTGCATTTCCACATTGGAAATCCCCAGGTGGTGAAGGAAAATAAATACATCTTTTTCAAATAAGCCATTCCATTGCTTCCTAACTGAAATGTTAATGGACCCACATGGAGCAACAGGAAATTCCTTTTTTAAAAAAACCAACAACCATGGCGTATGGAGAGTAAAAATACCCCCCCTTTCCTGTCTCCTTTTACATATCGCCACCACTTTTGCTCTTAGACTGAAGCCCATCATAAATTAAGGGACTGGGATTGGAGTCCCTTGGAAAGAGATGAAACTCGAGAGTCAGCTTTGGGTGAGTCAGCTTGCAGCCAAACTCTATGGGATGGAAGCTGTCTCTCATTAAATGTTTGAGGAATGCTGACCACAAATCTTGCTTGCTTTTGTCTGGTTTGGCAACTACAACCAGCTGCCACTGTTGTGCATGGGTTATTAATAACCATTTATACCAGCAAAGCTTCACTAAATCACCCAGGCAGGTTTATGAGATACAAAGCAGGAAATGGGACATCCATAGTCTCAGGCTGTCATTTACATTTGAAGCTACTGCCCTGTGAACCACTACCAGTGTAGCATCAGGTTCTGCTGAAATACATTCAAGGCGCTATTGGCAGGAGGAGTTGTACAGGTGTACAGTCTTGTCTTGTACATTCACTGCCCTTTTGACCAATTGGAGTGATTTTCTTCCCTTGATCTCAATCTTACCAGCAGAAGTGTTCGTGCATGCATTGTCTAGAAGAACTTGATGCCACAACTGTGCTCAAGCTGTACTAGTCCGTAGTTTGTCGGTGCTTGGAAGGGGAAATTCCTGGGTATAGCCCTGCGGGTATAGCGTCTTGAAATCCTTTGTAGAAGAAGGTCAGGATATAAAATGTAACATCAGTCAGGACTAATATGGAGAGTGGGGTACAGCTCTGATAGCTGTTCTTGGAGAATGGAACAAACTTCTTCCTTCCTTTCCTTTTTTGCCAAATAATCACATGGGAGATTCTTTTAAAAATATTATTTATTAAGGATTTCAGGGGGGTTACAAAAGTACGTGCATTGTCTCTTTTTCAGGTCATAGAATCATTTCTACTGATCTGTTACTTTTAGTGTGAGACATTTATATTGTATACAGTATAAGGTTGGAAGGGAAGGGTGAGGGGTGGGGGTGATAAAATTCTTCTACATAGTGTATGTGTGGGGGTTTTGTGTCAGCATCACTTGGGTAGGTTCTCTTTCTATTCATTTATTGCTTTTCCTTGGCAGTGAGAGAGCTTGAGGGGCAGGGCATGGTAAGTTGTCTTTAGTTGACTTTATATACTAAAGGTAAAGGTAAAGGTACCCCTGCCCGTACGGGCCAGTCTTGACAGACTCTAGGGTTGTGCGCTCATCTCACTCTATAGGCCGGGAGCCAGCGCTGTCCGCAGACACTTCCGGGTCACGTGGCCAGCGTGACAAGCTGCATCTGGCGAGCCAGCGCAGCACACGGAACGCCGTTTACCTTCCCGCTGGTAAGCGGTCCCTATTTATCTACTTGCACCCGGGGGTGCTTTCGAACTGCATTGCCAAAATAGGTTTACAAGGTGTAGAAACCAGTTACACAAACATTTAACTAAAAACACCCATAAAACACAGAATGAAACAATCCCATGAAAACAACACTGAGGATGATAGTACCCCTAAATATATTTATTTTAGAAAAAAAGCACTGTTGAATTGTGAAGTTATGGTGCTGTGTGCTTTCTCTGCCCTTGCCAGTGGCAGTATACTGCCTGCTATAGGGTACCTGTGGGGCACACACAAGCCATCAGGGTGCACACTCATAAATACACACAAGAGGGCAAAGAGCCCAAGGCAAAGTGCTTTTGCCAGAAATGCTCAGATACAATCCAGTCATTTAAGATACAGTATGCACCACATTTTAGTATGGAGAGATAGAGATACAAAGATGGCTAACAGTTCCATTCCCAGAAGAAGAAGAAACGCAATTAAAAATACAAAGAGCAACATAAAATCAGGAAAGCTATAAAAGAGACAGTGCAACATGTTGAAAACCAGAGTCTCTGTATAAGCTAACAGAGAATGTAGAAAGTATGAAAGACCAGCTACATTAAGCTAAGCAAATCCATCTGAACCAGGCAGTAGTAATCACAAAGGAAATGATGCATGGAAGAGAATTCCACACCTGTGGTGCAGCCAATGAACCCCTCATGCCTCCTGACCAGGATTGCCATAGCCTGTGTTAGGAGGTAGAGATGCGTCTCGCCACCAAATATTAGGTTGTGGGCAGGATGGTATGAGAGGACACAGCTCTTTAGGAACCCAGAAGTCAAGCGTTTTAGGGCTTTAGAACCAGTACCTTGTATTGGTTCTGGAAACATATTGGTAAACAATGCAGCTGTTCTAAACCTGGCATAATATGCTATGTCTCCATGTTCCTGAGAACACCATTGCTGGATTCTGAACCAAGAGGATTTTCTGGAGACTCTTCAAAGGCAGTGCCATGTAGAGCGCATTGCATTAGCCCATCTTAATGCAATCAAGACTTGTGTCACCACGGCAAGTTCTGATCTTCCTCCAAATGTATATGTTGTGGGTGAACATATCAGACGACACAGCGATTCTTCAAACAGCTCTTGTTTATTCACAGGCCAGAACAGAACTGAACTGAAGGGTTCAGCCAGCCTGCTTATATAGAGCTCCACTAGAATGCAACAGTAACCATCTTCTGTAACTATCCAATCACTGAATCGCTTTCGATCCCTTTTGCATATGTGGACCTGACTGAAAACTATCTACAGTATCCCCCTGCTGGCCCTGGGTGAGAACTTCAGTACATAACACCAACGTTGAAGGAGCAACGTTGGTGCCAATTCAAAGAGCCATGCAGTGAAACAAACACAAACTGCCTTCTTTATTATGCTGGTGTGCTTTTAAATGATATTGTGAATGGTTTGACGTGTATCTTGGGCTGAATCAGGATGTGGTGAGTCATGCGTCAAGGGACTTTGAAGCATTCGGGGGACTCCACACACCACATTCTGTTGAAAGGACTAAATTGTGTTCTTTTAATCATGTAGGAAAGTGTTGAGTGAATTG